GGGGGGAAAAAAAAAAAAAAAAAAAAAAAAAATAATTTCATATAATTAAAGTTTTACAATTAAATATTAGAAAAAAAAAAAGGAAATAAAAATATGACAAAACAAGAGTTTATAGACTTTTCTAATTATTAAGATTATAAACATTTCTATATTATTATAAAATAAAAAGTTACAATTTTTTTATAATAGAATTTACTAAGATAATGTTTTTAATTAAAAAAAAAAAAAAAAAAAAAAAAGATAAACAATTTTCATTTTTCTCCCAAAATACTCTAATTTAATTTTTATATATATAAAAATATAAAAGAATATTTAATTGAAAAAAAAAAAAAAACGTGCACTAATAAATATTTCTATTATATATTAAAACTTTTTCATAAAAATAGAAATATTCTTTTTACATCTACTAATCCTCTTTTACATAAAATATAATTGTATCTTTGTTTTTTTTTTTTAATAATTCATAATTAAAATTGATCAAAAACTAAAAATATTTCGACACCTACGAAAATATATATATGTATATATATATTTATATATATATATATTTATATGTGTATTTATTATTTTTATTAGACCATGTAAAAATATACAAAGAACACTTAATATTTCCTACCGAAAAGTAATCTTTACATAGAATTTTATTAAATATTGAAAGATGTATAATACTTATTTAGATTATCAATATAGTTTGTATCTTATAAAAATTATCTTAACTAAAAAAACATTTTCCTTAATTATTTTAAAATAATTTACATAGAAGAGTTTTTATAAAAAAAAAAAAATGTTTTCACAACATACACAAAAATTATTCATTATTTTTATTTAAACATAAGAATATTAGTAAAACAAAATAAATAAATATTAGAGAAACCATTTTATATATTTTTGATTTAGATAATTATTTAATCTACGTTTAAATATACAAATGATGAAACGTATTCAATCGTATCTGTATAATTTAAGTGTTTACTAAAATTTAGAAAAATGAGAAGGATAAAAAAGGAGAGAAAAAAGGAGAAAAACAATAAGAAGGAAAAGGAGAAAAATAGGAAAGAAACAAAAAAAAAAAAAGAACGGTGATCTATGTAGTTATGAGATATTTTAAAAAAAAAAAAAATTTACTCAATTTTTTTTTTTTCTTTTTATAAAAATTATTTGTGAAAATGTTCTAAATTTTATTTTTTTTATGAAAATTTAGATATGTGCATACAAACCCATTTATTTTTATTTTTTTGTATTAAAATAAAGGGAACAAAGTAACACCTTTTTTATGTTTTTTATTTATTTTTAATAATTTTTTTAATAATGATAAAATATCTTTAAATATAAACAGAATAATTAAAAATGATATATAAAAATAAAAAATATCATTTTAAAAATTACTAGAGTGTTAAAAATTAATATAATATGGAAAAATGTATTCTAAATGTGCAATGATACAAAAGAAATAAGTTTTTTTGTAGAACTTTTTTTTTTTTTTTCTTTATTTTATTTATAAATTTTTTATTTTTTCATTACATTTTTAAATATTGAAAATTTAATACACATTGTTATTTGGAAAAATATAAACAAGAATTTATGAATGAGAATTATAATATTATTATTTTTTCATTGAATATTTCTTATTTTCCCTTATAGTATTTTTTTATTACTTTTTTTACTTGAAGTATACAAAGTTTATACAAGAATTAATTAAAATTTGTTTTCTTTAAAAAAGGCAAAATTGCTTATAAGAATTATATATGAAATATTTTAATATATACATATATATAAATATATATATAAATATATATATAAATATATATATATAAATATATATATAAATATATATATGTATAAATACTTATAAATAATTATACATGTATATATAATAATAATAATAGTAATAATAATAATTATTATTATTATTAAATTTTTTATAAAAATTAATGCATCTAATATTTTATCATTTTTTCTTTAAGAAACAAAAAGAATTATTCTATTTTTATTTCCTTTCTATAAAATTTATTTCTGAAAATTAAGTAAATTTTTTTTATAATAATTACCTTTAAAAAGTAATATATATATAATAATAATAATAATAATAATAATAATAATAATAATAATAATAATAATAATAATAATAATAATTTTATTTTTTTATTTATTAATTTTAATAATTTTGAAAAAATAATATATTATATGTAATGCATAAAAGACTTCTTATGAAACCTATGTAGCTTTTTATATTTTATAATTTTTAAAAATGAAAATAAGTGATTACTATTCATTAGATAAAAAAGAAAACTTACTAAAAAATATTTATGAACAAAATTTTTCAGTAGATTATAATGAAGATCTATCATTCGTAAATAATTCAAACTTACATACATTTGACAAAATATTTTATAATAATAAAGATAAATATTTATTTAACATGTATGTGAAAAATAAATTTGAAAATTCAGAAAAAATTAAGAAACATAATTTTGTTAATAAAACGTATAATATAAAAAAAAAAGATGAATATAATAATAAAAATGATATATATATCAATTGTAATTTTAGAAATAATTTACATAATGATGAATGTTTTTCATGTAGTGATACTATTTGCAATGATGACAACTATTCAGAAAAAAGTATTGGTTGTCTAAATAGTTGCTATAATGAGAAATATAATGAAGAAATAAATAACTTGAACCCACTAAAAATTAATAATAATATGCATTTAAATGAATTCAAAAATGCTTTATATGAATGTGATTTAATTAATGTAAATAATTTATATAAAAATAATTTCAACCAGTTTTATCTAAATTTATTAAATAATATGAATTTTAACAATTTAAATAAAAATAATTTTAATACAAAATTAACTGAAAATGGATATTCTCTCTTAGATAAACATTTAGAAAAAACTAAAAATTGTAACGAAAATACTAATAATTTAAATAATAACAACAATTTTAATGCTAATTCTTCATTAAGTGAACTTATTCCTAACTTTATAAGAGAGTTAAACCAAAACTCTGTAAATAATATAAAATTCTTAAGAGATCAAATGAACACTTCAAATAATATCTATGAAAATGAATTATGTAATTATAAAAAAAAAAAGGATGAGTATTATTCATTTAAAAATAATAACAATAATAATATACTTTTAAAAGTTGAAAAGACTGATAAAAGTAAAGATAATATCACTCATAAAAATGTAAATTACTTAAATATTAAGAGCCATTTTCAATCTAAATTTTTATATAAAAAAGAGAAAAGTTCTTTTATGGATAATAGGATCATTAACAAAAATAATTATTATAACTTTAATTCAAATAAATATATTCAAAATTACAGAAACAATATCTTATATAATAATAAGGATAAAATTAATGTTAATAGTATTTATACCAAAAATCTAAATAATATTAATAAAAATAATAATAATAGAAATAATATTAATAATAGCAATAATATTAATATTAGTACTATCACTAATAATAACATTAGAAGTAGTGATGGTAGTGTTACTAGTGATAATAATGACATTAGTTATAGTATTAATAATGATAATAAATATAATAATAATGATAATAATAATAATATTAACAATAATAATAATATAAATAAAATTAATAATAATGATAATAATAATATTAATAAGATAAGTAATAATATAAATAATAAACTTGGGATTGAACGTGAAAGTGCAAATTATCATGAATACATAAATACAAAAAAATTAAATGAATCAAATATTTATAATTCTTTAAATAAAAATGTAAGTAAGACAAATGAGAAAAAAAAGAAAAAAGTAGATATGAAAAATATAAGTAATGAAGATATAAAAGGTAAAAATAATTTATTGAAATTAAATAAATACGTAGAAATTTTTTATTTAAAAAAAAAAATAAGATTAATTAATTGTTTGATGCATTTAAAAAGTATATCCTTCCCTTGGCAAGGGGGAGAAAATAAAAATATATTTTTATTTAACTTATCTAATATTCTTTATACAAATGATATTACAGTTTTATGTATATATGAATTTATATTTTTACCTTTAATCAATTATTTTAATAATAAATCTAAAGATCTTAATAAAATATTAAGAAATTCTGATAATTGTAAAAACATTTTTTTTTTTGATGAAACAGACGACAATAGTAATGATAATTGTTCATCAGGAGAAGAAAACTTTAGACCTAATATAACATTGACACATGTGTTAAAAAAAAAAGAAAAAGAAATTATAGACACAAAAAATTATTTTAATAAAAAAGAAAAAAAAAAAATAAAAGTAGAAAAATGTGAAAATGATATTAAGAAAAATGAGATAAAATTAAAAAACAGAATAAATAAGGAATTGAATCAGAGTATAAATAAAAATTCATTGTTAAATGTTAGCGATTTTAGCTCATGGTTTGATGAAAATATGAGTGAATTAAATTTTATAGAATTATTAAATCTGAATGAGTTTTTTCTATTTGATCCTATTTCTTATGTTGATGAAAAAAAAATAAGAAACCTTATTCATATTAAAGATATTTTTCACACTGTGTATTTATTAGAATGCTTTCAGTTACAAAAAGATTATAATAAAAATTTTTTTGATAAATGCTTTGATGTAATAATTAATGATTTTTCTATTTATCTTAAGTATATATATCACTTAAAATTTAATGTGTGTTTTCCAAATATTAATTTAAAAAAAGAATTTACAGATGATTATTTTAACACGAAATTTGCATTTGAGGAACACTTAAAAGGAAAGGAGATTAATGAAATGTTTTTCTTAAATTTATTGAACAAAAAGAATAAAAGAATATTTGAGAATAAATTTATTAGTGAAAAGGAAAAAGTATCAAATGTAAATGTAGTAAGTATACAAAGTTTAAATTTTAAAAATATAAAATGCAAAAACATGAAAAAAAATTGTGATATAAGAAAAGATTATAATTTTGATGAATTTAATATATTTAATATTTTCTATATTTATGACTATATACATTCAATGGATGAATATAAAAATTTATCTATTTTTTCAAATGTAAGTAGTAAGAAAAATGACATAAAAACAAGTAAAAGCAACGAATGCTCTAATAATAATATAAATTATAACAATTTAAGAGAAGAAAAATTGAATACTTTTGAAAAAAATGTAAAAGATTTTATAAATACTTATTTTGAAAAATATTATGTAAACACAAATGACAATTTTACAACCGTAAATAGTAGCAATTTTTGTGAAAAAATATATGATTTTCAAAGCAAAAATAATAATGCTAATATTAAAAACAGAGATGGTATTGAATTAAAAAAAACACAGAATATTGAAAAAATAAAATCAGTTAATATATATACTAATGAAAAATATTCATCAGACAATTATTTAAATAAACAAGATAGAATAATAAGTAATGCATTAGATGAAATTTATGGTAATTATATTAATGAAAATTATACATTAAAAAAAAATGATAGGTATGATGTACTTTTGGAAAATAAGGAAATTGTAAAAAATTATTGCAGTATTAATAACCATGTTAGCACAAAAAATAATATTGAAGATTCTTCATATAAAATTAATGAAAAAAATTTTAATTATATCAATAACCTTTCATTTTCTAATAATTACGAAGAATTTAATGAAAATCATTCGAATAAACAAAATTATGATACTACAATGTTAAAGGAAGATTATAAAGAGGAGGAAGAATTGAAAAATTGTTGTTCTATATCACTAAAGTTAATTATTGAAAATCCTTTTTATTTGGCTAATAAAAAATTTTTAAATAAAAAGTTTGATATGAAAACATTACTAAAAGACAATGAACAAAATATAATTAAACAAAATGAAAATGATGAATATGAAAAAAAAACATATACAGAAGATAAAATATTAAAAAATTGTACAAAAAAAAAAGATTTATTAAATTTTTTAATAAAAAAAAATATCGATTATAACATCAATGAAAGTAATAATAAATTTTACAATTTTAATGATAGTAATTTGTGTAATGAATATGAAAGCTATTTAAATCTTTGCAGAAAAACGAATTATGAAAACAAAAATAATCATATGAATGATTATAACATAAATAATAAAATGGATGATAATTTAAATATTAATTCTACTAACGGTAAAGAGACAAATAATAATTCAAATAGCAATACATTTTTTCAGATTAATTTAAAGAAATTAAAAAATACAGAAAATAATCAAATAAATGATTTCATTAATAAATACAATTGTGGTAATCAATTTATGTTTAATAAAAATAAAAACCTTAAAGAAGAAAAAAATAGTAAAACATATGATAAAAATAAGGATTTTAAAAAAAATTTTAATTTTCCTACAAATCTTCTTCTTACATTAACTAATAATAGATTAACTGATAACCACCGTATCATAAATAATGAATCAGTTCCAAATGAAGTTTTCTCAATTTTTAATAATTTAAGGTTAAAAGAAGAATTAAACAGTCATTTTCCCAATGATAAAAATTACATAAAAAAAGATATTAAAAAAATGAATGATATTAATGAAAATGAAATTGGTGATATACAAAATGAAATTGGTGAAATACAGAATGAAATTTCTAAAATACAGAATGAAATTTTTGTTAAAAAAAAAAATGATTGTGATATTCAAAAAAGTTATCTTATTAAAGAAAACGAAGTAAAATTAAATAAAACAGATTCTACTAGTTTCACTGAAGAAAAAAATAACAATAGTATAAATAAAAATCAAATATTCTATAGTTCTATTATTAATTTTTTAAATAATACAGTAGAAAAAGAAGTAAAAGAAGAAAAAGAAGAAATAGAAGAAATAGAAGAAATAGAAGTAAAAGAAGAAAAAGAAGTAAAAGAAGAAAAAGAAGAAAAAGAAGGAAAAGAAGAAAAAGAAGGAAAAGAAGATTCAGAAAAAATAGAGGAATATGTTTCATATGTTTCTAACGATATTACAAATGTAAAAAGAAAAAAGATTAATAAAAATGAGTACTTAATAATTAATGAAAAAATGGATAATAATTTTGATTCAATTTACAATAAGGATTTTGGATGCTCTTTTAATGAAACATATGAAATTTATAAGAATAAAAATTTACAAAATTCTTATAATAACAAGAATTTTATAGAAGTATTTAATTTTAAAAGAACAAATCATATAGATGAATTAAAATATAGAATTCGTAATAAAGTTGAAGAGATGGAATATACTATCAATAATTTTTTTAAAAAACTTAAATTAATTGATAATAATAATTTATATAACTCAGATGAAAAAGAAAAGAAGATACTCGATTTAATTATGAAATATGTAAATAAGTTGAGAAATATTGATTCAAAAAAATGTAAAATTAAAAATATATCTTTTGACTCAAATTATAATAGATACATTGCTTTTTTTTTTTTTAAAAATAAGAAAAAATCCAAATCCTTCTCATGTAAAAAATATGGAGGAAAAGAAAATGCGAAAAATGAAGCTGCTATTTTTCATACTCATTATAATAAATTCTACAACTATTTTATTAGCTATTTAGAAAACAAAAAAAAGAATATAAAATTATAGAGGAAATAGATATAAAAAAAAAAAAAAAAAAAAAAAAAAAAAAAAAAAAAAAAGGAAAATAGGAAACTTAGAAGAAAAAAAAAAAGTAGAATATACAATTAAAATAAATAAATAGTTTAAAAAAATACAAGTAATAGGAAAATTATTTGAAAAAAGACAAAAATGTATTCATACTAATGAAAAGAAAATATATATAAATGAAAATTAAATTGAAACATATAAAAAATATAAAAATAAAATAAAAATGAAAATAGTAATATAGGAAAAACTTAATACTAAAATGAAATAAAAAAAAAATTACTTAGAATTAAGTTCTTAATAGATATGATGTAATTTAATTTAAATAAAACGTTGTTATTGGATGAACAAAATAATACGTAGGTAATTCATTATTAATCAAAGTTATAATAAAATTCTTATAAATAATAATCATTAATATAATAAAAATATATATATAATAAAATATTTTACATTTCATATAAGGAAATATTATGATTATGATTCTCCAAAAAAAAAAAAAGGGATGAAATTTAAAATCATTGTATACATTAAAAATAAATATTTTTTTAAACTAGACAATATTTCAATTTATTTTAAAAAAAAAAAAAAAAAAAAAATCTCATAAAAATCATTGCATAAATTAAAAAGAGATAATATATTTTGGTATATATTTATAAAGTAGTTACATAATTGTTAATAAAGAAATAGATTATTTTCAAAATTATAAGTTGAAAAATTTGTTTATGTAAGTTTTATTACCAAAAATATTAAAATAAGACTTCAGGAAAAGAATAATAAAATAAAAAGAATTGAAACTATAAAAATATGAATATATTAAGATACAAAAAAAAAAAAAAAAAAAAAAAAATTTTTTAATAAAAATTTTTTTTTGCATGAATTTTTTTTTCTGTACTAATTTATATGTATATATATATATATATATATATATATATATTAATTATGTATGCTAATTTTTTCTATTTTTATTTTTATTTTATTTTATTTTTTTTGTTGTCTAATTTATATGAGGAAATGAAAAATATTAAAACTTTTAATGGAGCACGTATTGGGTGTATTAATTATTTTTTTTTTTTTTTAATAATTTATAAAATAATATTAAAAAATATAAAAAATTATTTTAAGATATCTTACCATTAAGCATTTAGTTGCACTATTTCTGTTTACATTCCAATTGATTATTTGTGAAATATGAATAATAGGAAACACATAAATAAATTAAATAATATATTAAAATGTGATTCTATTAAGCAAAACAAAATAAGAAGGAATAATATAAAATATGAAAATATAAATGAAAAATATTTGAATGTAACTAATTGTATAGGAAAAAAATATATTGAAAAATTAATAAATGAATGTTATGATTTGGTTAATAATACTTCAGAGGATGAAACAACTAATAAAATAAAAAATTATGATGGTAAAAATAAAAATAATGATATTGAATTTATCAAATTATCAAATTTAGAGGTAGATAATATATTATGTAAAATTAAAGGTGCTAACTTACATGAAGGAAGAGCGGGTATGCTTAATGAAGTTATAATGGAAACATTAAACAAAGTGGGAGAATATATATATATAGAAAACTGTGATTTTGAAGCTTTTGTAAAAAAAAAAGATGAAGTAGATAATTTAAATTATATAAAAGAACCTTCAGAAAAAGAAAATGGATATGATATTTTTATAAATAATAATTTATATAATAAATATTTACACCAAAAACACCATGATTTGATAAATTTAAATTATAATAAATATAATATCAATGCGAATTTTTCTAATTATAAAAATATAAAAGAAAAAAAAATAAATGAAAAAAATACATTCTTTGATGAACTTAAAGCATATAATTCAGTTTCTGTTAATGAGCAAAATGAACGAAATGAAAACTATAATACAAAAGAAAGTAACATATTAAATAAATATTATGATTTTTCTGAAAGTAACAAATCTAAAAAAAGAATTTGTTATAATGAAAACATTTTTAGTGAAAACCACTCTAAAATTTATGAAAATAATTCTTATAATGAAACAATAAAAAAATGCTATATATTTCCTCCATCAGAATATGATGATGAAAGTATAAAATTAATTAAAAATGGTTTAAAATGCAATATACGTGATTTAAAAAATGGTTCTTATGTAATATCTTTTAACATAAGAAAAAGTGGATACTATTATTTATCTATTTTTTATAAAAAAAAACCTGTAGCAGAATCACCATATCTTATCCACATAAAACCATCAACTCCTTATGCTACTAACTGTATTTTATATAAAGATTCAAATAATAAAATAATTATTCCAACACCAAAAAAGAAAAAATATAAAAAAAAAATTCATAAAAATTCAAAAAAAGAAATAAGTAGTAGCAAAAATTTAAGTAATATATATAGTAATTCCTTTTATAGTGGAGAATTCAATTTAAATTATTCTTACTCTGATAATGAAACAAATAGTGAATTGTATTGTGACACTGATAATACTTACTGTTCTTCTATTTCAAATAAGTATCCTGTTAGTTCAGATAGTGATGTTAATGAAGGTAATAGAAATAGAAATTCATATAATGGAATAAATATGAATATTTTAAAGTGCTATAATGAGGAAGAAGAAAATAACAGATTTAGTAATTTTTTTATTCAAAGTTATGATGCTTATAATAATAAAATAAATGAAGGAAAAACTACTTATGAGGTTATTGGATTAGGTGATATTAAAATAACTGAAATAAATGATTTGAATAATGGCATATATGAAGTAGTATATAAATATTTAAGTAGTAATAATAGTAATAATGGTTATAATAATAATATAAACAATAGTAATAAGTATAGAGAAATTAGAGTAACTTTAAATGGATTTCATATAAAGGGTTCACCATTTAGAATAATTTTGAAAAATGATAAAAATGCATTTCTCTTAAATAAAATAAAAAATTTATTACCAATCCATAATTTAAATACCTTTAATCCTACTGAAAGTATTCTTAATATTATGAATTCATATAAAAATATAAAAGACAGCTATTTGAATGAAGAGAATAAAACATATTATATGAATATATATCCTTATTATGAAAAAAATGAGTTAGATAAAATACTAAAAAAAGTAGATAATAACTTAATATCACTGATGACTATACCTATGAAAGAACAAATATTTAATTATATAAAATATATGAATGATGATAAAGAACTAGTAAAATTAAAAAAAACCCTATATAAAGAACTCTTAGTTGCTAATAGTAAAATGCTAAACTGTGCATTTATATTTAATGAAGATTTCGAAGAAGGCAAACAGAATTTAATGAAAGATAGAAATCTCCAAGAGCAAACTATAAAAGAAATAACATTAATGTATAAATCGTTAAAAGAAAAAAATATTCATACATTACCATTTGAATTTGCAATTAAAGATATGAAATTGTATGAACAGGAAATAAATAATAAAAAAAAAGAATTATTAGAAAAGCAAAATAAATTAATAGAAAGGTATAATATTCTTAAAGGTAAAGAGACAAAATTTTATGAAGACAGAGAACAAATTACAAAAGAATTGAAAAATAAATATAAGCTTCATCAAACTATTTATGAATGCTCACAAGATGCTTTAATAAAAAATAATAACAATTTGAAAAGAATAACCATAAGTAATATTAAAAGAAGTACTAAAAATGAAAAAAATTTATTAACATTGAAAAGTGAAAAAAGCTTAAAAAATATGCTTTCTGCAGCAAGTACATGAATATATAGAAATGAAGGTGATAAAGAAAAAACTTATTCTAAAATAACAGAATGATGGAATGAAAAATATATAAACTAAAAAAAAAAAAAAAATTGAAAAGAGCAGAATATGATAGAATTATAAAAATATTACAATAAATTAAAAAATATAAGTTGTTATAATTAAAGACATTTTATTAGATTAATATTTCAAATAAGAAAGAAAAAAGAAAAATTAAAATAATTACTGCTACACATAAATTATTAGTTATATCTACAAAAAATATATTATATGCCTTTTTTTTTTTTTTTTGTTCTACATTTTTTTTTATTGATCAAGTATTAAAAACAATACCTTATAATAGTGACTTTTTTTTTTTTTTTTTTTATTTCATTTTTTTAAATATTTGTAATATTTTATGTAATATATTCTTTAAATTGAAAATAATATACATTGTTTTACTTTTTTTTCTTATAATTAAACACATTTTTTTTTAATATTCTTGAGATGGATTAAGAAAATTAACTCAGAAAATAAAATAAAAAGTGGAATAAATAACTTTAAGAAATTGTTAATTCATATATATATAAATGTATATATTGAAAAAAAAAAAAAAAAATTTTAAGGTATTTTTTCTTAAATTATAAATAAAAAAAAATATATACAAGAGAAAAAAATTATATAATTTTAATCAATTTACTAAAATAAAACATACGGAAAAATTAAAAAAAAAAAATTTATAAATTATGTGTTAATATTCACATTAAAATAAACCTATATTCCAACAAAAATAATTTACATAGTAATAGAGTTAATTTACGATGATTATAGGTATATAATTAATAATATTATTCTATTTAATTTCTTTGTAATAAAATTGGCAAATTAAAGATAAATAGAATGATGAAAAGTTATAATTTTATCAAATCAATAAAAAGAAGTATTAACTATTCTTTGTATTTAGTTACTGATGATAAATTTTTAAAAGATAAAGAAAATGTATGTCAACATTTTATTGACAAAATTGTTGAAGGAGTTTTAGGAGGTGTTAGTTTGGTGCAGTTAAGGTTAAAAAAATCTGATGATATATATTTTTATAACATGGCTGTAAAAGTGAAAAATAAATTAAACCAGCATAATATTCCCTTAATTATAAATAATAGATTGGATATATGCTTAAGTGTTGATGCAGATGGAGTTCATTTAGGGAAAACTGATATACCTCTTAACATAGCTAGAAATGTATTAGGAGAAAAAAAAATTATCGGTGCAACAATAAATTTTAGTGATGAAAAAGACATTGAAATGGCTATAAATAATAATATAGATTACATAGCTCATGAACATTCTTTATATGATTCTGAAACAAAAAAAACAACTAGCTCGTATGCAGTAGGTTTAATAGAACAAATAAATCTTTTACAGTGTAAAATAAAGTGTCTTAAAGAAAAAAGGAAAATTTCTCCATATTCTAAAATACCTCCTATTTTATTAATAGGTGGTATTAATACTATGAATATAAAAGAAACTATGATAAATTTTTATGATATATGTTCAGGTATAGCTATTGCTTCAGGGATTATCGGTGAATATAGCAACCCATTTTTAAATGCACTTAAATTAAGATTTATAATTGATAAATATAAAAATAACTATAATATTGCCTTTATTAATATGTATAGCAACTTGTTAAATTATTTATTTTATAAAATTACTAATAATGAAGTATGTATAAAAAATATATTAAAGGAAAAGAATGAGCAAGAAAATAAAAATTTTATGAATGAAGTAGTTACAAATGCTAATATAAAAAAAAATGTACTCAATTTTTTTATAAATAATTGTAAACATAAAATTCTTCAATTAAATCAATCTATAATAAACAATAGCAAAATAAAAGTTTACCTTTATGAATCCAAATTTTTATATTCAAATAATCAAAGCTCCTCTATTGTAAATAATTCACACTACGATGAGTGTGTG